AAACAGTATACTTCATGATATCAGACAGGCTAATTCCTAGTCAAATTCGATATCATCATCTATAATGGAGTTAAAAGACGCTAGAGGATTGAATTTAATATTGGAAATCAATATAGCAATCTGAGTTCGTAGGCGGATTTGGAGGTATACTTGAAATCTGTCCCAGTATCCCCTTTTTGCCCTATATCAAATTTATTGGGACTTTTAGGAATGTTTAGGACCGTTTAACATCCCTAATGCAGAGTTTATGAAATATATATCCATAAGAGAGTATAGTAAAGGCCTTGAAAGGATATGTTAAAATATTATTCGTACATTCAAAACATGATACTAGCTTCAGAATTTCTTTTATCTCTTACAAAGTTATTATTGAGATTTTTTAGGATATTGTATCCAATGTTTCTAATATTTGAGAGGGAATGTTCACTAAAATGAATCTGGACCTGTCAGACAAATTTATTCCAAGCCAGACATATTGCTTGCTTCGCAAAATTCTTATCAATATGATTTATCTAGCCTGTTTTTGTAGTGCAGGTAATTGACTAGTAGAAAACATTTTCCAGATTTTCATCAGCAATTATGCATTGCATTTTGTCATTACAATAATCCTCCTTGCAAATGGTCAACTTTATAACCTGTCCTAATGTATCTCATTCGAGTCTTGTTAGATATTTGAGTGCGATAACTATCCGTAAAATGAACCTAAGTAATATCAATAAAAATGACAAAGGATTAGCATACACATCCCAAATTTCATATGCAAAATATTGATTGCCAGAAAAATATCTATATCTAAATATTGTTTATTGACATATATTCACAGTGTCTTCAGCTAAATTTATCACTAGCTAAGATTAGATGCAATATTAAAGAGCTTTTATTTTGCGATACATTATATAAATATAAAGTTCAGATATATAGCCAATCATGTTTTTCACGATACAGATAATAAGTATTTTATTACTATATTTTGCAATTGCTTCTCTTTCAATTTCGTGTCTCTTTCTAACTTAGCATTTCTTGCTTCAAGCTTAGCTTCTCAAACTCAAGCCCAGTTATTTTAGCCAGAAGTCTGGCATTTTTTTCTTTAAGTAAGTCAAATACAGATTCCATTTTCAGTAACACTTTTTATACAAACATTTAAAATAAATACAAATTGACTTTTAGAAAAAAATAATGCAAAATACATATGCATTTCATGACACATTTCAGGTGCTTGATCTCACATGATATTTATAAAATAAAGTAATTATATCTGTGTGAGCAAACAATAAAATACTTTATTAGCAGTGATTATATTATATATTTATGACGAAATAAAAGAAAAATATATTACAACCTAAGAAATTGATACAGATATTAATATCCTGATTTTCGTTAGGATCGGAGGATTAGGATACAAATTCCTAAAAAATATTTCATATTGTTTTATAAAATAATATAACTAGCACATCATCATTGTAATCATTATAACTAATCTAATATATTCTTTTCATTATCAGATTGCAGAGGTAATTTTTTTTATTGTTCAATCTATTAAAAATCTGCTGGCTAATTAAAATTTACTTTGTTTTATATCTTCTTCACTCATACTATCAAAAAATTTTCCATTAAAGCTATATCGGAACTTTCGTTAAAAGTTGCAATAACATGTCTAAGTTTCTGTCTTTTAGTAATGGTTCTTCTTTAGAAAAGTTTGATTCTATGTCTATTTTAGAGCTTTCTTATGTTGCCAGTAAATGTTCAGATGATGCTTGATCCGCTAATTCTCTCAATTCGTTGTTCACCAATATAAGATTATGTTGTATTAACGTCACAGATTCAGCTCTACGAAGAGTAAGCTTCATGATAATTTTTCCTTTAATCCAAAAAAAATGCCAATCATCCATCAGATCAATTAATATAGCTAAGACTGAATGTATTGATTTTAAATCTGCGGAAATTAGTACTGTCATAGTTTAAAATATATGTTTCTTATTGACAACCTTCTTTAACTCAAAGAGGACTCAGATATGTTTCTCTTGGACTTGAGAAGTGATAAAATGCCTGTCCATTATAACCAAGTCTGTTATTCCAGAAAGTCTTATTAGTAAAATATTAGTATTTGTACTAATAAAACTATCATCACCAGTTGGATTATAGAGTCTGAGTGTTCAAAATGTGATAAGTCTAAATAAATTCGTAAGATGAGATTTATACCTATTTCTTTGTAATCTTTCTATAGCATTTATCTATCTGAAAACATCAATTCTTTCATTTTCCAAATTTAAATCAAGGTTTGTAAATTCTTTTTCACGTGTTGTTGCTTGGTAATCAAGATCAGTAAATTCTTGAATCTTCATCCAATTTCTATCGGTTACAGCTGATATCTGTACTGAAGATTTTTCTCTCTTTATATCTTTAACATTCTTATCAATCTTATCAAGTCTAATAATAATTTCATCTAGCTGAGAAGTAAATGATTAAAAAGACAAAAGAATGTTAATTATGATTACTATTCGATTTATTCTTTAATTTGACGTTCAAAAAGATAATTATCCATAATATTATTTCTTCTATTTACTAGTAGTAGCAGGAATAGCAGATACATTGATGATAATGTGAATACATTCATTAGCGGGTGTGGGAAATTTCTCTTCAATATTTTCTATAGGTTTCAACACCTAACCATCAAAATCATCTACAATGTAGGCATTTGGATTAGTGAGAGTGATTCATTTGGGGTTTGCGTATTAAGATCGATATTGACTTGATATAAAATAAAATCCTTTGTTTTTACACATTCGGAAACTTCAATTTCTGTCTTCTATATGACTTTTCTTAAATCGTTAACAGTCAAATTCTTATCATATTTAATCTTGAATAAGAACCTTCTGGATTCCTATAGACTAGAACGTAAATTAATGCCTTTTTAGATAGCATAATGATGCAAAAATATGGTTTAAAAAAAATATTTTTTTTATAAAACAGGAGTTGGATTATTATTTATTAGCTGATTGTATAACAAATGAAAATATCAAAATTGATGTACAAGTAATACTTTATAATACTATATATAAAACAAGTGTCTAGGGATGCTAATGGTTACGGTCATGATTGGTCATAGTCATAACTGATATCGGTCGGTCAAAGGTTTCTAACCGACTGGTTGACCGACTGATTTTGACCGATTTTGACCGACTGTTTGATCAAATATTTTTTAAAGTAATCCAAGAATTCTTTGCATTTAATTAACAATCATTTTATTTATGTAATTTTTTATAAATAAAAATTTTTAATTTATTTTTAAAAAAAGTTCGCGATAATTCTGTAAATATGAAAGTAAACTTAGTTAACCTAAAAGAAATTAGTAAAATATATAAAAATTCAGAGTATCATGTTAGTATTATTTAAAGCTTAAATTAAAATTATCGATCAAGAATCAAGAACTTTACATTATATTATTGTTATTTAGCCGGTCAACCGGTTAATATAACCGGTCGGTCGGTCAAAGGCTTCTGACTGACCGTTAACCGACCGTTAACCGACTATGACCGACTGTTACCATCCCTACAAGTGTCAATACTTTCACAGTTTCATATGGGAACGTTTTCAGTAAAATCAAGTCATGAGGCATAATAAATCATATGATCTGTAATGTAATTTTACTGGAAATGCTCCCATATTCTTCACGGTACTACATGCGAGTGATAATACAAGTGCAAGATTAAGCCACTATACATGATGAAATTTCTATACTACAACTGCAAACTTGAATTTATTGCTTGAACTATTACAGGTAAGACAATATTCTGTTCCATTTCTAAACTATTCATCATATAATCCATAATTCCTATATTTTCCATTGCAGATAGGATGATGAGTCCTATAAGTTAATAATTATTAATCCCCTAAAACTATTTTGGTATGTAAAATGCTCTAAAACAGTAGACTTGAAAATTAATTCTGGTGATAGGCCCTTTTACTTTATATTGCTCTAAAAAAGATACTTTGTTTTCTGGTTTCAAATTTATGAGAAGGTGGGCTTTTAATAATTACCATAGTTTGTGACCAGTTTTTTTCTTATATTTTTTGTATAAATTGTAATGAACCTTATTTGTCAAAATACCTGGTAAACCAGTTAATTTGACATACCAATCCAGGTATTTTGGGATTAATATTTTATAGAACTTGGTCTGAATATCAAACCTTAGATACTATACATACTATACAAATAAACTCCTTAATTTTTTATACCATTTTAGGAATAAGACCAATTTTGCGTAATTTAGCAATTTACATCAAATTTTCTTATTGGTTTTCATTGTACTATGGAAATTCCACTATATTGATAAATGTATTATTTTTACTGATCACAATGTCTTTGAGTTTTTTGACATTTTTATACCAGCTAGTGTTATTAAACTGATGCTAAGCTTCTTATACTTCCAATATTTTTGAAAGAAAATATCAAGTTCTAATTCATTCAAGAAAAGAGGATGATATTCAATCATAGGTTTCTCATTAAGAATTCTCTTAGCTATCTAGATGCATCTAGTCTAGAATTTTTGATTTTTCTTAGATTCTGATTCTTTTTTAAATTCATTAATATTATATCTTAATTTTGCTACCTCAGTTTTATGCTCATAAATCTCAATATAATACTTAATATTTCAGCATCAGTATCTCTTCTACCCTTCTCTAATTTCTTGATTCTGCTCTCAAGCTTGGATGTCATAATTAATAATACTTTATAGAGAAATTATTCAAATTATTCAATATTATTGGTAAATGTAAAAAACTCACGTTATTAATATAAAGAAAAAATAAATACAAAAGCTTAGGATTTTACCTGTGATTCATATCAAAGTCTATCATATTCACTTCTATTCTATCCATAGCTATTCTTTATAATCCACCTTTTTTCCTCAAATTGCTTAGAAAAAAAATAAAAATGTTAAGATTTCGATTATTTTGCAAAAACAGTTTTTACTAAAAAATTTTTTCACTATTCTAACTTTGAGAAAGCAGGCCTATTTGTATAATTCTTTTTCAAACTATAATAAAAAAGAGTATTTCTTATATGCATTTTTCATATTACAGTTTATCATGATCCTATTACATATTTGAGTAAGGCTTGAATAAAAAAATTTTTAAAAAAATATGTATGTAATATTTATGCAAATCTTATATCGCATATATACAGTGTATAAAATCTATATGCATAATGTGCACATATGCATATTAATTTTTTGTATGCACATATTACACAACATAAAATATGCACAAATTATTACTAAAAATAGATAAATTATATATAAAAAAGGTAATTTTACATAAGAAATGTTATGATTTTCTTATTTTAGTAATAATTAATCAATTTGTGCACATAAATTTTAATTTAGATTTTATACACTGCATATATAGATGAAAGATGAAACCCAAAAAAAGAAATTAATAAACAGCCAAAATTATATTAAAATATAGTGAGAGTATAATGAAATCCCAAAGCTTGAAATTAGCCAAAACTATATTAAAAACATAGTAAGAGATATGATGAAATTATTTTGAAAAAGTTTTGAAGAATATTTATAATTGTATAGCTCCTGTTTATTCAATAAGAATTTTTTTAATATTTTTACTACAGATTTTAGACAGATTACTTTTATTAGTAAAAAAGTTTAAATAGTGTGGTATCCAAGCTATCAAAATTATGCAAAAACAAATAAAATTTAGCTAGAAATATCATATTACTATATAAGTATCAGACTTGACTCTTCTTATAATACTAACTACCAATCCTATTAATAATATACTATTACTGTACCGTTCTGAAATTAAGCAACCCCTAAAAATAAGCAACCCATCAATTAGTATAGATCCAAAAATAAGTAACCCATAAATTCCTGTAATTAAACATAATAATTAAATATAATAAACATTAAAAATAGCATTAAATTTATTTATAATGTATTTTATTATAAAATATTAATTAGTCTAATTAGTAATATTATTCATTATCATTGCTATTGCCATCATCACTATCATCATCATCGCCATCATCACCATCATCACCATCATTATTATCATTGTTATCATCACTACTAAAGATGGTACTGTAATTAAGAAGTTGCAACTCATTAAGTTGCAACTTGGGTTGCAACTGGTTGCAACTCCTTGTAAAATTTATTTTAATATAAAAATTCATAAATAGTTGCAATTCAATAAGTTGCAACTTAAGTTGCAACTAGTTAAAAATTTTTAAATTAATTACAGCTCCATCTTTAATCACCACCAATAATATCATCACTAGAATCTTCATTATTATCATCTGATATGTCCAAAGAAGTCGAAATCTTGTAAGTCTTAAAAGACTTTATAACCATTTTGTTTGGAATTCCTTCCTAAGCACATTTGACTTACCCACAAATATTAGATAACCTAGCATGACGAAAGTTTCCTGATGTGGTTACTTCTGTACTATCTCCTGCTATCCAGATATGACATTTCTTACGAAGATTGTCTTTAAATAGCTTATTAATTGTTATATCAAGTGGTTGATATATGCTAGTTAAACCACTTGAAATAACTGTCAAATCGATACCATTGTTACGAAATCTGATTTTAACTGAATCTTCAAGATGTCTTCAGAAAGAATCGTATATCATCATTGTTGAAGTATTATTGATTGTTAGATTATCATTAATGTAATCAACATATTTCTTCATTAAATTGATATCCATTTATCTGTTCTTCTGAAACTAAACAATGACACTGGATGGAATCTGTTCACTGCATTGTCACCGGAAATAATCTTCTCTGATTACTTCACATAATTTGTTTAAGTTCCTTTACTGCGATAAGTAACTTTCTTATCATCAGACTTTATAACCTTAGGGAATATTACGTCTTACAGGTATCCGGGATGCCTTGGAATTACTTCACTTGGTTTACAAACTTAAGGGTTTAGGAACTTAGGAAATTTAGAGAATTTATATATTCTAAGTGACAAACTCAATCGCAAGTTAGTGTAGTAGTTCACGATCAAATCCTAGATGATAGACATATAGAAGGGAAAAGTATTTTTGCTTTAAAATTGATTCCTTTATTTATTACTTGAAACTCACAAGTATTTTAGAACCTACAAGAGAGTTATTTTACAACATGAGCAAAAAGCTATTCTATTTATACAAAATTAATTTGCTATAGTTAACTAATTGCTATGCTATAAACTAACTAAATTTGTAACTACAAGTGTTAATATAATAATGATAATAATTATAAAGATAATAATAAGTATAATAAAAATAATAAAAATAAGAAAAATAACGATAATAATTAAAATAATAGAAATACAGGAAATTAGGAAAATCTAACAAATCATGATAATCTGATGAATCTAGTAAATCCTAAGAATCCTACGAATCCCCAGAATCCTGTGAATCCTAAGAATAATCAAAATCCAGAATTATGCAGATCTTCTAATTTGTGATCGACATAAAATTAATTCCAGTAACTTTGGTAGATTATTTAATAATTCTTTGTAGATCAACTTTTCAATAATGAATTTTTAACTAGTAACAGCGTGGTAGTCATTTACCTTTAAAGATGCAAATTGGCAGAAATTTTGTACCATTTACAGAATAAAAATTAGATAAAAATAAAGCTAAAAGAAAAAAACTGTTAAATGGAATTTTACTTGTGGCACATGTCAAGACAATCGTGAATTGGTTCTTTTCATTGCTAGTGCTGTGAATATGAATTGTTTTTTGCCTATAATATCGATTGTAAAATTTCCTGCTATGTTGAACTATACAGGAGTTTCATTCATATTTAAAATGTTAGATAACTCAAATGATTTTTCGGTTTTAAGGTTGATGATGAACTGATGGAAATTTTCTAATAACTCAGCAGTTTGTGATGGAAGTCTTTGCAAAACTTTA